TAAATTTACTTATTTAAAACTGTTGTTACGAATGAAATGACATGTTTTTCTTGTCTCTAATTGTTCCCTTGTACTGTGTGTACTATATAAAAACACATATAGGCCTTTATGTCTGGAACAACGGAAAAAAATTAGACGTTGTAGCGAAGTGTAGCCGCGGTTAGAGAGCGTTCCCGACTGAATGCAAGTCGGGCAATTACCTGACTTTCGTATTGCAAATTGGAAGTGTGTACGACGTATCTATATAATAAAACATCATAGTTTGGTGCGCTTTGTATTACAGCTTATAAATTATGATAGTATAAGCTTGAGAGGTGTAAAATCAAAGTTACTATTAATAATTAATCATTGTCAAAATTATAAAAAATATTATGTTCGATTTTTGAAGAGAAAACTTCTTTAGCGGCGTTGTACACTTTTTTGTATGGGTAAAAAATGCTAAACTCTCGTCAGGTTAAACACGTGGGCTGATCGCATCATGACACACAATAAAATTGGAAAGGTTGTTGACTTTCAATATTTTGGACGAAACATAGTATTTTTATTATTTTATCCTATTATAATAATAAGTCTCTATCTAGAACGTCCACGTGGCAGCTTTAATGCGAAGAAAAAGCATTTTATTTACAATAGATGTCGCTAGGTGTGCTTAAATGTGATTCATGTAAGTTAATTTCTTTACAATAGATGTCGCTAAGTGCGCTTAAACGTGATTCATGTAAGTTGATTTTTTTGAGAGATAAACTTTTTTAATGTAATATAAATTGTCATGTTTGTGTACGATAGCGCATTAAATAAATATTGTATTCTACCACATACATGATAGTACTTTTATACTGATAATTAAAGCAATTCGTGTTAAATTATTCCCTAACCATTCCAAAATATCAAAAATGCACAACGTTAATATTCAAGTTTTCACTTCTGCCGGCACTCCCGGAGTGCAACCCGTCGTTTTTTATGTCATAAAGTACATAATAATGTTTGACTGTTCTGTGAAATACTCTTTTAAGCTAACATGTCCCTCGACTGCTGTTTATTTTAACGCCTCTTAAGTTAGTTATTGGCAGGGCAGTCGATAGTTTTATGATTTTTTTTATTGATTACTAGCCGTGCCCCGCGGTTTCACCCGCGTTTTTCTCGTTTCCGTGGAAATACCGAGATAAAATATATAGGTACCAACTCTTAACATCTTACACACGTGATAACTTTTAAACGAAATATCCGATTGAGATGAAACAAAAAGTATTTTACTTCTACATAAAGCTAGCAGTTAGACAACCAACGAGATTATCTAGTGGTACTTGTCTTGATAATGTAATCCATAATATTCGGGGGTGCAGAAGTGAAATCATGGAGTTTGCTTTGTCTGATCACACCGCTCAATTTCTTATGTGTCCAGTTAAGTTGAGTTGTGTCTTAGACCATTGGTTTATTAAAAAACGTGACTTCTCTCATGGAAATCTAGAAAAATTTTTAGGACACGTGTCATCCTTGACTTTTAGTGACATATATGCCAGTGATGACCCAAATGATGCTTTTAATAAATTTCATGATTTTTTTTCTTTGTTATACAATTTGTGCTTTCCTATTATCACTGTTCGAGTATCATTGCGAAAACGGCCAAAATGGATAAGTAAAGGCATAAAACTTTGCTCCAAGCGAAAGCGGCAACTACTCTGGAAATACAGGAAAACACGATCTGTTAAGGACAAAGTTAATTTTAAATCTTATTCAACGCGGCTAAATCGTATAATAAAATTGACTCAAAAATCACAAAATGACTTTTATATACAAACAGCAAATAATAAAACAAAAGCTAGTTGGGATATTATTAATAGATATAATTTTAATGAACCGAAGCATGACATACAACAATTGAATATCGATGGTAATATTGTTTATAACCCAAATGACATAGCTAATTCATTCAATAATTTTTTCATTGACCAAGTTAAACCTTTTACACCGGACATCAGACATAGTTTTAATCCACTGACATATAATAACCATAATTCTATTTTCATGAATCCTGTTACACCATTTGACATTAATTCTATTATATTATCCCTTAAAAATACTAAAAGTACTGGGTATGATGATATATCCACTAATGTTATTAAATATGTATCTTATGCTATTTCTCCAGTACTATGCCATATATTTAACGTATGCATTTCTCATGGTGTTTATCCTGAAAAATTAAAAAAGACTATTGTGAAACCTTTGTTCAAAAAACAAAACAGAGACATGATGTCCTGTTACAGACCTATTGCTCTAATACCAGTCATGTCAAAAATCTTTGAAAAAGTGATCTGTGATTGTCTTTATAGTTATTTTGAAAAATACAATATACTAGCAAACGAGCAGACAGGGTTTCGAAAGAATAAAAATATAAACATGGCTATACATAGGTTTATTGATGAAATAATAACTAAAGTTGACAAAAACATTCCTGTGTGCGCGTTATACATGGACCTAACAAAAGCATTTGATTACGTTGATCATAATATATTAAAATCTAAATTGATGAGTTATGGCATTAGAGGCAATGTCTTAGATTTATTAATGTCTTACTTAAGTAATAGAGAACAAGCAACTCTCATTACGAGAATATGCTCTAAATCAAAGCACGAAGTTAAATATGTGTCAAATTATAGACAGGTACAATATGGTGTACCTCAAGGCAGTGTTCTTGGGCCACCACTATTCTTAGCATATATTAACGACTTCCCCACAGTAGTAGCTTCACCAATGATACTGTTTGCTGATGACAGCACTGTAATTTTTTCAAATAAAAGTTTATCCCTGTTGCGAACTGACATAACTATGACACTTGACAAAATTGTAGACTGGTTAAAAAGAAATAATTTATTAATTAATATAGACAAAACTCATGTTATGACATTTCGAAATAGACCTAGAACTCCCATATCAATCGACGTTGAGCATTGTGGAAAGATTGTTAAGGAAGTGGACTTAATAAAGTTTTTAGGTATAACTGTTGATTGTAACCTTAACTGGAAAGCGCATATTGAGAGTGTTTGTGTTAAACTCAGTAAATTCTCCTATGTTCTATACATGCTCGGTAAGGTGGTTCATATATCAACAGTATTAATAGCGTATCATGCGAATGTAGCATCTACGTTACGGTATGGAGTAATATTTTGGGGGAACTCAGTTGACAAAGAATATGCATTTAAAGCTCAAAAAAAATGTATACGGGCTATTTGTAAAATTAAGCAAACTGACAGTTGTAAACCGCATTTTATATCATTAAAACTTTTGACATTGCCGTGTATTTACATATATGAAATTGCTGTTTTTGTTAGAGCCAATTTACACTTATATGTTACTTTTAATAGTAGAAGATTCGAAACCAGACTTTGTTTACCATCTAACAAGACATGGCTTATGAATAATAGTGTACTTTGTATGGCACCTCAGGTATATAATAAAATTCCAATTGAAATTAGAAAAGCTGAAAGCCCCAATATATTTCGTTCTGAATTAAAGAATATGTTACTTAAAAAAGCATATTATAGTATTAAGGAATTCTTAGAGGACAAATCTGTGTAAATGGGTGTACACTATGTGTTTATTTTAATTTGCATGCCTTGTGGTGAAATATGGAATAAGCGTACGTATTATAATTTAACACCTTTGTATCACCTGTATTTGCAAATAAATAATTGATTGATTGATTGATTGATAAATACTCTTGATAACATAATGCTAATACCGATACATATTTAACGTAGTTTTTTTTCTTCAGACGATTTAATAATTATTTTGAACACAAAATCGGTTATTGTCATTAAACCATGATAGCTAAATATATGTTCTTGCAAACTTTTTTGTAGGTCTCAATGGGATCTACAAACCCGTAGTACATCATGTTGTTCTATTGTCAATAGTTTTGGCAGCGCACGCAAAAATAGGTTTTCGATTTTACACCTTGTGTTACAAAATAGCAATTTTATTACGAATCCCTAATTTTGAAAAAAAAATATAGCCTATTGCCTTCCTCGATAAATGGACTACCCAACACTGAAAGAATCATTCAAATCGGACCAGTAGTTCCAGAGATTAGCGCGTTCAAACAAACAAACAAACTCTGCAGCTTTATAATATTAGTATAGATTAACTAAAATGTGTGAACCTCCAAGTCACATACTTAAAATCACTAAGGACACGACTCAAGGCGCAAGGTTAACAAGGATCGATTCTATAGCTAGCAGTTATTACAACTAGATATAAGATACTAGTTATACTAGTACTAGTAGTAAGTTTAAGACTTAATTATGATTATGAATAAATAATGGTCGAATGTAACTAGGAAACGAGGTGATGCATCTTTATTCAGTATTGCAAGAGTCAATAAGCAAAAGTAAAACATGCTTGTATTAAAAAGTGAAAATTAATGCTATGATTTGTAAGATTTTTTACAGTTTAGTACTATACTAAATTTGATTTGTGACTGTCTGTACTTATAAATATATTCACTAATATTTATAAGTACAGACAGTATCGTATTCACTAACATTTATAAGTACAGACTGCTGATTGACGCTGGACATGACATGTCTGACATCTTGACACGTATCTGAGCATGGCCCTTATTCAGAGCGAAGTTAAGATATGAAAGCCTCACGCCAAAGCATTGCAGTACACTTAGCATGAACCAATATCGAATTCGTAACGTTTGCGAGTACGAAATGTCAATGTCAAATGTGTACTGATTTTTAGTTCTCTTTACGTCCTTTGTACGGCGATGCTGTTCAAGTTTTCATACAAAATTTGACAATGACATTTCGGACGCGCAAACTATTCGAATTCGATATTGGTTCGTGTAAGGGGTACAGATCTATATCAAATATTGGCAAGAACATTGGCGAAGATGTTTGCCAATGTGTATTGCTAGCACGAGCCATCATGAATACAATCCACACTATTTTGTATATTTTGAATGCTAATTACCTTTTTTTCTTTCTTTCCAGGTGCTAATACGACCTTCGAAATGTCTATCGTAGATTCATACAGAAGCTTTATGCAGAAGAACAGCGGTAAGTTTTCTTTACAATAGAATTAATTTGTTTGTAAACATACGTGATATTACAATCCACGCATTGGTCCTGTCTATATTTCACCATTTTTGGTATACGAATATATATTTCTATATTATATCTAGCTTCCGCCCGCGACGTCACGTGGAATAATTGATAGTTAGTTAGTTAATTCTTCAGGGCGGTTTCCGCACTTAGTCCTAATTATTGGACCATTGTGCGTGTCTCAAAAACATTCCCGTTTACTCCAGCCAGCCTATATTGGTCCAGAAGCAACCTTGGTACACTGCTGCAAGCTTCCGGAAACGATTCTGGCGACTGGAGAAGTCGTGCCCGTTGGTCGGCCACTCCTGCATTCCATGATGTGTCATGCTGTGGCGTTTCTTCTGCCTCCATGCATCCTCTGCATAGGGGGCTGTCTGTAACTCCTATTGTATATAGGTGTTTGTTTAGGGGACAATAACCAGTCAGGGATCCTATAATCCTGCGAAGTTTGTCCCTATTTAGCCTGGTAAGGGTGCGGGCAAAACTTTTATTTGCCGCCGGGACCGCGTTTTTCGTTTGCCGGCATCCTTCACCTGTTTTCCACTCCGTCAAGTGTGATTTCTGAGTTATTTCATGGAGCCACGTTTTAATTTGGGCCTGAGGTGGAATTATTGATTTGGGTAGTTAATTTTTACCCAATCTGCTTATTCATCAGTCTGCTTACCTTTTTGAAATAATAAAAGATATATGGTTTTAACCGTATTAAAATTGGACTGCGAGGCGGAGGTGGTCAGACGCGGACAGATGGCAAAGGCTGCCGTGAAGCGATTAGAGAGGATCTGGAAGAACAGAGGAATTACTAAATCCACTAAAGTGCGGCTGATGCGAGCCCTGGTCTTCTCGATTTTCTTGTACGCTTCCGAAACCTGGACGTTGAAAGCACGCGTCCGTTCCAGGATTGATGCATTTGAAATGTGGTGTTGGCGCAAAATGCTACACATACCTTGGACCGCACGAAGAACTAATGCATCTATCTTGAAGGAGCTGGGTATCAAGACGCGTCTCTCTTCTGTCTGCATGCAGCGCCTCCTAAAATACTTCGGTCACGTAGCAAGGAGAAGCCCGGATAATTTTGAAAAGCTTTTGGTCGTTGGAAACGTGGAAGGCAAGAGGAGTAGGGGCAGGTCTCCATCCCGGTGGTTGGACATAGTTAAAGAAAGTACGAATGGCAACTTGCAGGCGTCCATTCGCCTTGCAGAACACAGAACGGTCTGGAGATCGTTGGTGAAATGTGCTGTCCTGAAAGGTCACGACCCTCAGCCATGAGGAAACGACGATGAAGAAGAAGAAAATTGGACAGGTCAATGAATGATTGGTAACTGCGAAATAAAATGCATAGATGGAATAAGTAGGGAGATTAGGCCGTTAACCACCACGCTGGCCCAGTGTAGATTAGTGAGTGCTGATTACGGCCAGTCGGCAACGGTTGCTGCTGCGACCAGCGCTTCCGGCGCGCATTGGGGGGACTGCGGCACGGTAATATTATCTATACAGTATTGTGACTCGGCCCTGTCCTTGAAATGACTGCATACGGCCGAGCAGTGCGTATCCACGCGGTAGGGCTACCCGCCTACAGTATTTTAATTTCATGTACATAATTGAGTTTCTTTCTAGTTTTGTGATAGAAAATATACTATTTCTTATGTAAAAAAAAAATGTGAATGAATTAGGAAGTGTTAAATAAAATACATGTTTTTGTTTAAAATAGATTTGAGACAGAAAAATACTTACGCCTCGACTGAGACGTACGAAAAGCTTTAATGTTAAATTTAATAGTATAATAAATACGCATTCGTATAAAAAGTTTAATTATTGAAGAGTTCAAGCAACCAAAAACAGCACAATATCGACTATTGCTCTTTGCCATATTATGTAGATGTATTTATCTACTTAATTCAAACAAATATTCATAATAATAATAATAAATTATTTATTTGTTTCAACATACAAATGGTACAATACACAAATAGAATGACAGTAAATAATTGAAACAAAAAGGTATGTGGCTCAGCATGTGACAGTCAAGTTTTGACTTGTCGCTGGTATTCTGCCACCACCTCACAATTATTATTTTCTAAAAAAACACATTAATAAGGACAATATCAGCAAGTCGAGACAATAATTTAGTTATTAATTACTACAACAATTAAACAGCAGTTTTTTTTTAGTTTTAGTTATTACGTTATATTTTGAAGGTTCTTAGTTTAATGATATATTATGTTATGACATTAATTCATAAAAGTTTTCTCATCTTTGTCGTTACTGATTAAATAGCATCATATTTTGTACTTGCCGCCTCGTGTTGTTGTTCAAGGAACCACCGTTTACACCTTTGCTTAAAACTGCTTTCGGATATTATAAGACTTTGCCGCAAAGGAGGAGGCAAGTCATTCCATATTTTCGAAGCGGCAAATACAAAACGTCCCCTAGCAACAGCATTTCTAAATAAAGGCAGAGACAGACGCAGGCCAGTGTCCCTCAAATTACTACCACGAGTCCTCCATTTTAACTTACTAGCCAAATATTCCGGTATATTTATTTTAAGCAAGGAATACAAAAAACAAACATATTTCAAATCCCTTACTCCGCCCATATTCAGAACCCCGTTACGCACCAAGTGGGGAGTAATATGATCCCTCTTTTTTATTGGAAAGCAAAATCGCATGCAAGCATTCTGTACCCTCTGAATTTGCTGCTTGGTCTTTGCAAGCAAACACGGACCAAATACAATATCACAATATTGTAGGTGCGATAAAACTAAGGAGTTACATAGTTGTAATTTAACATTTGTACATAAAAATCGATTCAGTTTATACAGAGTCTGGAGCGACCCAAAACAATGACCAACCTTTCGCCCAACATGATTCTCGAACCTAAGATTTTCATCCATGTACAGACCCACGGCTAACTGCTTAAAAACAATTCACGCCGTTCGGTCGTCGCTGCGGCGCATTCGCGTCTGGATGCCCACCGGGTGCCGCGCGAACTCGAGTGGCGGACGTAGGTATAAATGATCAATGACCTTATAATTTGATCAATGTACATTCTCCAGGGGAGGGAGAGTCCTGGTGCTCTGAGATACAGGCGTTCTGCCTAGTTCAGGCACCAGTCTCTCACAATCTATTTACTGTTTTTATATAAGAATTAAAGTATAATAAGTTGTCATGGAATTTGTAGATTGTGGAAGAAGAAATAAAGATTATTATTATTATTATATTATTATTATATAAATAAATAAATAAATATGTCCAACACTCACACCAATTAGCCTAGCCCCAAAGTAAGCACTGTAAGGCTTGTGTTATGGAATGCTAGGGTAACGGATAGAATACATATACTGTACATATATAAGTATATTTATATAGAAATACATATTAAACATCCATGACTGGAGTACAAATGCTCGTATTCATCACACAAACATCTGCCCCCACCGGGATTCGAACCCGGGACCTCTCGAGTCGGCGACACCATGAAACCCGGCGTACAAACCACTCGACCACGGAGGTCGTCTATGACACGCTTTCCGACCGTTTGTATGAAGATCGAATACTGTATAGATAATATTACCGTGACTGCGGTCCTCAGAATGTATGCCGTGTGACCAAAGTACAGTCTGGTTTTTAGTGTCCCTGCTCAGGGCACTTGGTAGGGTCCTGCTGATTTCATCTGGCCCAAGAGCTGGCTGAAATGAGCAGGAAGGAGTCCCACATACTTTCTTCTCACTTCCACGGTGGTTGAAGAATGCGTAAGGCATTTACCAGACAAAAAAAAGGTCTGACGACTGCCGATGCAGCCGGGAGTAACGACATACCACTTTTCGGACCACGGAGCAGCTTGAGATAGTAATATTTAAGAGGGCACTCCTTCCTTAATGCCAGATTACATTGATACAGTAGCTGGCGCCAGTTTTAGGCGCCTAAAAACGGTGCCAATAACTGGACTGGATTGTATCATTTACATTTTTGCCAGCAGTAGCATTTGAGGTTTAGTGGTGACTACACGTTTGGGAAAAAATGAACACTTATTTTACTTTTGCTTTCATTTCTTCAATAGTTAACCTTTCCATATTCATTGAAGAGCAAATATTATGCAGGGCTGTTTATGTTTATGTATAATTTTGGGAACGAATGTCCCATAAACACTCCTTATTTCTATATAAATGTATAAATTGTAATGTGTTATCATCACCCCACTTTTGAGACATTTTGTTGTCGAAAGTTTCAGCAAATCAATAAGAAGTGGTGACGTTAAGCGGCGGCGCCAGGGACTGGCGTGAACGTGTTTAAAAAGATCCAGTGACGCGGGCAAGGGGCGCGGGGGATGCGGGGTGTGGGCACTGGCATGAAAAGTAGGCCTTCGTTCTACTCCATGCCAGCGCTGGCACCAGCGCGACACTGGCGCGTCCAAAAAATGTTTACATGGATCCAGTACTGGCATGCCAGCGGGACTGGCCAGCTACTGTATCAATGTAAATCTGGCTTAAAAGCCGGCATCGCATTTGTGATACACCTGGTGTTGCAGGTGTCTATGGGCGACGGTGATCACTTACCACCAGTTGAGCTGTCAGCTCGTATGCCCCTTATAATATAAAAAAAAAGTGTGCACAGACCACATATCTGAAGCGAGACTTCTTTCTTATATAACCTAACATTAGGTGGTGCATAAGGCATAGGGGAATGGAGCAGCGCACACATCACTCGTCATATATATGTACATATTTATTTATATACTAGCGGCCCGCCCTCGCTTCGCTTCGGTGTAGAGCTGAAGCGTAGACTACAGTTTTTGTTCTCAGGCTTGTTTTATACACAATGACATTCATCTATGATTATTCTTATACCTGCATGCAAAGTCTCAGTTCGTTCGGTTTTAAAATTGACAAAGTTTCATACAAACTTTCATTCCCTATTTTATCCCCTTGGGGGTAGAATTGATCAAAATCCTTTCTTGGC